CTACTCAGCTGGAGGCCTCTTGAAAGAATTGCACCAATCACAGGCTTGCTTCTTTCTCATTTCCTAGGCATCAACAAAAAACAGCTGGGTGTCTGTGGCTGGATCCTCTTTTCCATCTCTTTCCTGTTGATGATCATTACCTTCCCCATCTCCATATGGATGTGCTTGAAGGTAATACCCTGGGAATTAAATGGGGCTCTCCGTATTAGCCAGCAAACCATTAMGACTAAATGCTGTCCCTTAACCTCTTAGATCATTAAGGAGTACGAGCGCGCTGTTGTATTCCGACTGGGACGCATCCAAGCCAACAAAGCCAAGGGACCAGGTATGACACAGTGGCTACTCCTGTTGAGGATCACGGGCATCCCTTACTTCTGCTGCCACCACCACTATTTTTCCTGGTGGCACCGACGGGAACTCAAAGCAAAATCCCAGGAAACTGGAGCTCTTCTGTATAATAGAAGGATGTGCCCTCCTGGGAGTGGCCACCAGTTTGAGAGATTAGAAATCTGGATCCGTTTCCAAACTCTTCCCCTGAGAGAGGCTGTGAATGTGAGCCAAGCTGGTGGACACGGTTTACCAGGTCCAATAAGAGCATGTCAGGACAACAAGGGGAAAGAGTAAATGACTGGGCTTGGTGGCACATGCCTGTAATCCCACTGCTCAGGAGGCTGAGGCAGGAGGATGGTGAGTTCAAAGCCAGCCTCAGCCAAAGCGAGGCACTRAGTAACTCAGTGAGACCCTGTCTCTAAATAAAATACAAAATAGGGCTGGGGGAGTGCCCCTGAGCTCAACCCCCCAAAAAGAGTAAATGGCCAACATATACCATTAAGGTATTTGGAGCCAACATTCAAGTGGTTGGGATTTGATTCTTACTCTTTGAAAAGGGCTAATGGAAGAGTAAAAGGTAATTTCCTTTCATGGCAAGTAGACCAACAGACCAACAGAGCTGGAGGCCATACTATGACTCCCTTTGTCTGGTCCCCTGGTTTTGAAAATAAGGAAACTGAAGCCAACATAGGTCTCATGGTTTACCTAAGACCATTCTCACAGTTGGAGGCAAAGATGAACTTTCAGGCTTTTTGATATCTAGTGTAGTTTCATTTTCATCTTTTCTCTAGAACTTTAGAAGGAAAAACATTCCAAACTGTTCATGTTACAAAAAGATTTTTTTTTTTCTTTGACCAGGGTGAAGGTGAGGGTGTCAGTTCAATATCTTATTTCTAAACTTCTTAGAAATAAGATATTGATTTAATTCTCACAAAGTCTCGGTGTATATTTAGTTGAACCATACAAAATTGCTATTATTTGTTTTGGTTCACAAAAATGGCAATTCCATGTGGTTAATTTTAATATTCTTAAAAGACTATCAAAAAGCATCTTAAGAGATGATGTTTTTTTAGCTCTATTTCTCTGGTAACATTTGTTTTTGGCTTCCTCTTATGGTATATTTAAGTAAAAGTTTTGTCTTTCTATCTGCACTAAAAAATCTCTGGGGTTAGAAAGGTTTTAATGCATAGTGATATTCTGTGTATTTTGTATTTGGTCGGATACCTGCTACATGAAAAAAAAACTGAGATGCTTCAAAAGGTGAAACTTGTGAGTGACACTTGGCTATTTTAAGTAATATAATCTTACTTGTCGAATTTCATAAAGAACCCAAGGAAAAGAGAGCAACATCCATTATGCATTAGGGATGTTCTTACGAGTTTGCCAAGACAGCAAATGTAAGAATCATCCAACAGAGGAAAAATAGAACAAAGTTATCCTGTTCCTGGGTGCTCAGATTATAATAATGATGTGAAAGAGGCGGGAAAGCCACAACTTGGAGGACTCTGGAGAAAAATGTGTCTCTTGTAAATGAATTTTCCCAGAAGATTTTGCTACTTAATGTCCCAGGATAACCAACGTCGTCATACGTGTCTCTGGGGCTAATGAGTTACCTCAGCATGTCATAAGGACAAAAGGGAGACGAGCCAAATTGCTAACGGAAAACTTCTCCACTTTTGCAAATTGCAAATTATTCTTCAATAATAAAAAGTATTTACAATAAGAACTTCGATTCCTTGAGCACCTATTACATACCTATTCCTACCATCTTGTATGTATTAAGCCACCAAAGCTCAGAAAAGTTGAGTGAATGTTCCCTGTCACAAGGGTACAAAGTGGCAAGGCTAGGACTTAACTCCAGAAGCTCTCAGGGCCGTGCTCTTAACCACAGAGACCTGATACCAAAAAAGCAAATAAATAGGGCAGCCGTTCTTACCACAAGTCTCAGAAATGTTTAGAGACCAAAAGGGAGAGAACATTCCAGTAGTGTACTCTGCCTGTGCTGCTGTTCCTTCTCATGGTGCTTACYTAACCTGAGAACAAAAACAGTCACACAAAACTTTCCTGATAAGCAGAAATGGATTAGTGTCCCCATCCTGCTGACAAGCCTTGTGGTTCTCATCCTTGTAATTCTTATAATAAAGAAAGAACATCCTCAGTGTAATGCTGAGGATTCACAGGGTCCTCTAATGAGTTCTTTTATACCCACACCTCTCTGACGACCCCAATGCTTCACCATGCAGAGAGAAGTGATTACAATCACAGAATGTTATTGTCCTCGAACCAGAATATGACTATGTTTTGCAAAGCATTGGTTTCAGGAAATCTGAGACCCTGGGATGATTTATTTCTCCTCCTCCTCCTCTTCCTCCTCTCCTCTTCGTGCTCCCCTCCTTCTCCCCTCCTCCCCCTCTCCTCCTCCTCCCTCTTCCTGCTCCTCCTC